TCATAAACAATTTTCTTTAAAAAAAACCTTCTTGGTATTTGTTTGCTTATCAGGTCATTATGTAATGATAATCAGTGTTTTTTGTTTACAAAAAAACCCCTAGATTTTCTCAGTAACATTAAAAAAAATATATATAATATACATTATTTATATAATTAACATTTTTGTAAAAAGAGACACTGATTGAAATCTAGCTTTATGCTGGTCAGTAAAGGTTGAAAACCCTTGCTCCAGATAAAAGATTTTCGTATGTCCAGACCTGGACAATGTTTTCAGCTAATTGTTATTAGTTTTTCTTTTTTTAGTAATTTCTATTTATTCATTAATAATAGATATTCTAAAAAATAAATAATTATATATTTTTATTTTTTACACTTTAATCACTAACCATACAGGTAATTTTTTGTGTTTTTTGTGTTGTAGAATCCATCTGAAATAGCTCCTAGACGGGACTACGCAGCTTTACCCTTGCTGGCAGCTCCCCCTGCAGTGGGCCAAAAAATCGCCTTTAAGGTACAATGTGATATGATAAATGATAATAAATATACCTCAGTTTTAATGTTTTAAATACCTGGCTAGTTTTTCTAGATTCAGTGCCCACATGTAAGTTGTCTCTGAGTTTCTCATGGTTCTCTCTTGTCTTAAAGCTTTTGGAGCTGACTGAGAACTACACACCAGAGGTGTCTGATTATAAAGTAAGCCATCATACACTTCTTTAATGTACAGTAAACTGTTGTGTGTAATGTAAATTAACAGTTTGCTGTTGTTATTTAGGAAGGGAAGATTATTGCATTCGATCCTCAAACAAAAGTGATGGAGCTTGAACTTCTTTCTCAACCTCAAGGTATCGCCAAAACACTTTTTATGTTTGCCACTGTTTCAGTTCTATACATTTGAAGCCTGGAGGTTTGCAGCTGCTTTATTACACACTAGAGTACACTCTTCCTTGTGCAGCAAAACCTTATTTTATTATGTGTCTTTTAGCTCCAGCTGAACCTGGCAAGTTTGACCTGATATATCAGAGCCCTGATGGATCCGAGAGAGTTGAGTATGCTGTCACACATGGATCACAGGTACTGAATGTTCTCTTAAAGAAATAGGCATCTAAAAATGAAAATCTACTTACCCTCAAGTCATTCCAGATGTAGATGTGTTTGTTTCTTAATTCCATGGAACAGATTTGAAGAAAATTTAGCATTACATCACTAACTCACCAGTGGATCCTCTGCAGTGAATGGGTACCGTCAGAATGAGAGTCTAAACAGCTGATAAAAACATCACAATAATCCACACAATTCCAGTCCATCAATTAATCTTTTCTGAAGCAACAAGCTGTGTGTTAGTAAGAAACAAATCCATCATTAAGGCATTTTCAACTTCAAACTGCTGCTTCAGGCTAAAATATGGTTTCTATAATATTGTGTCTCCAGTGAAAGTATTGTCTCTTCTGAGTCAGGAGAGAAATATGCATAGATAAAGCATGGGTTTCAAGTGAAAACAGTTCGAAACAAATATGTTGGTGCATTCTGCTTTGAGAGGACAACAGGGGGTGAACTTTTTTTTTTTTTTTTAACTGGAGGGGAAGTGTCATTATAGATTATGGCCATAAGCAAGAGTTTAAAATGAGTTAATAATTGTTTTGTTAAATACAAACAGCTTTTTTTTTTTTGCTGATGGACTGGTGTCATGTCAAATTTTCATTTGTTGAGATATTCCTTTAAATATTACATCATAATCACATCAAGTTCACACCCGCCACATCACATGGATTTTAGAATGGCTGTAACATTGAATTGACCAATCAGAATTCAGAGACAGATCTATCTACTTAATGAAATGGTTTTACTATGGATTGGAAATTCATATGAGCTGCTCAGGGGTCCTACTAAACAAAAGCCAATGTACTTGTTGTCATTAAGTGAATATATGTATAATATGAGTTATATAACACGCATACACTTATAAAATTACATTTTGCCATTACATATATTGGTAGGGATATGTTTTAGATATCAGCAGTGGTAATCGTATGGATAAAAATAGCTTGTAGCAAGAAGAGTGTTTGTGACTATTTAGCACCATGGCTAATTATTTCTCAGACTCATGTTGTATTTTAAATTCAGATTATGGATCGTAATTACAATGCTTGCTGGGGAAGTGTATTTGACACAAGTTTCAAAGGGATATAAATGTGCATACTCCATGTTTAACACATGCAGTGTCCAGACAGTGCTGTTGCGAGCTCTAACCCCTCTTTTGTAGTTTGGATTGTAACCCCATCCCCCAATCCCACACAAATGTTGCTTTCTGATTATCCCGTATAATTGTTGAATTGAATAAGGGCAGTTCTTTGTACAAGTGTATGCTGTGGTAGGCTAAAACAAGCCTTTCTTTGATGTCTTTCCTGCAGCTGACGGAGCGCTGGGATTCTCTTTTGGAGCCCCGGCTCATTGTGGAGAATGTTGGATGATGGTCATACAAAACATGTCCTTTGCGGACAACCTTTTTAATTTTAATGCTGCTTTGTTGAATCAGCTAATTTCCATATTGTATTAACTTTTAAATTGATTCTCAATGTCAGTTAAATAAATAGTTTTTTTTTATGTGGGAGTAGAGGTGATTGATTTATTTTTAGTGTGCGTTTATACAGTGTGTGCAAATAGCCAACAATGTTGGCCTAGGCTGTTTTTACTTACTATGAAGAGATAGGTTTAGGTTTTAGTACGATTAATCTTTTTAGATGTTGTGTGAGTATCACCTGTCACAATTTACACTTAGTGTAAACAATATTCTACTTGATGCTTTTGAGAAGGAAATTTAATGTGTTAATTAATTTGTTCTGTTTAAAAATAAAGTTTACACTCTTGAACTGAGTGAACAAAAACTGAAGCAATATGTCTGCTAGAATTTATACAATTCATGTCTTCTTTTAAATGAATGCTGAAAATAACAGTAGCGTCATCAAAAGCAAGCAACAGAACAGAAAATAAAGCACGCATGTATCGTTCTTAATTATTTTTGTCCTATATGGTATTGTTACATTGTGCAAAAATAAGTGAACATGTTAGATGTGTATATGCTTGAAAATGTTCCTCTATAAGTTGTTCTGTTTGCACTATTGTTTCTCTTGCAATATTAAAAAAGAGAGAATAAGGCGTGCTCTCTTACCTTGCAGGAACGTTTTATTTTAGGATCATCCTTGGTAGGTAAAAAATGTTTTATACAGAGATAGGGTCTTACATTTTTAATAATAGAAAATCCTTACATTTCATTTGAATTGTTTGATAACTTTCGTACAGAATGGAGATGGGTACATTTTTCATATTTTGCCTAAATATATATTTTTCATTTAGTACTGCCCTTCAGAGGCTACAGAAGGAAGATATTTCGGCAAAATAAGAAACATTTACACATTTGTACAAAAGTTTACACCCCCTGGCTCTTAATGCATGGTTTTTGCTTCTGGAGCATCAGTGAATGTTTGAACCTTCTGTAATAGTTTCATATGAGTCCCTCAGTTGTCCTCAGTGGGGAAAAAAGATGCATCTCAAAATCATACAGTCATTGTTGGAAAGGGTTCAAACACACAAAAATGCTGGAAAACCAAAGAATTTGTGGGACCTGAAGGATTTTTCTGAAGAACAGCAGTTTAACTGTTCAGGACAAACAAGGGACTCGTGAACAACTAGCACTAAACAAAAAAACACAGCTGTGGATCATTCAGGTAACAACACAGTATTAAGAATCAAGTGTATGTAAACCTTTGAATGGGGTCATTTTTATAAATTCAATTATTTTCTCTTCTGGACTTCTGACATGCATTTTGCATGATCCCTCTTATTATGGTAAAATAGTTACATTTTGCAGATTCTGAAAGGGGGGTGTAAACTTCCCAACACTGGTAATGAATAGTAGTAAGAATAATATTCTGACCTGATGTATGAACTGTTATTCATTCAGCAGTGCTGACACCCTGAGCAAGAGAACAGGAACATACATAGTTGATAATGCATCTTTTTTTTTGAAACCGCTATGATTGAGATATCAGCCCAAAAATGTCACTTAAAACCCTTAACTGTCACCGTCCCACCTGTGGGACGCTTGGCGCTATTTTGTTGTTGTCCTTTTTCTCTATCAAATGTTTTAGTAATCATCATAAATTATATATTATTTGAAAGCTTAGAAGCCCATCCTGTGAAAACCATTGTGAAATCGGACATTGTGTTACCATGGAAATGGTACTTTAAAATCTTTTGGCGGTCTCCTCCCCCTTAGTGGGCGGTGTCAAGTGTCATATTACAAAATGCATTACGGTCTTTTAGAATCAAACCTTTTTATAATCTTTACAAAAAACATATCACTGCAAAGGTCTGAGTCTCCGGATTCCATATTTGGTGGTTATTTTGAGATAGAAGAAATATTGACAGAGAAAAATTTGTGACAGAAAAATGCATTAAAAAAATTCAATGGAGTTTGGATGGCACCCGGTGGCTGTTTGTAGTATAACGCCCTAAATAAAATCTCGCAGGCCCCTCAATTTTTTTCATATCAACTTCAAATTTGGAACATAACTTATTTAGACATAAGGCTTTAATTTTATACCAATTTTAGGGTAAAACCTGTTATGTAAAATATTTATTGCATTTTATTTACAGTAAATTTAAACTTTATAACTTTTTGATACTTGAAAAAATTCCACTTTTTCAATAATCTGCTGATTTTCTTCTTTAAAAAGAGACCAACCTTAGGTCTGTATTCCGAAGTGTTCATAAATTACAACAATTTAAGTTTGGATAGTGCACTTTCATGCCTATTTAAAAAAAATGGGGGGTTACAGTTAAGGGGTTAATTGCATTATTGTGTCTATGGTTAATTCAATCCAATCTGAGTTTCGTTGACATTTGTGTCAGTTGCGTGAACCAATCAAAGCGAGCTAAAGGCGTCCGCGTCACACGCGACGTCAAAGCCAGTGTGGCGCTCCTCCCTCCGCTGCGCCGAGGCTCTCCTCCAGCTGGACTGAAGAAGCGCTGCTGCTGCTGCTGTCAGAGCGCCGAGGCTGAGGTGATGGAGAGCGCTCTCGCAGCTGCCCGGTCTCTCTAATACAGCGCGTTTAACAGCGCCTCTTCTTAAGGATGGACGGCAATGTCTTCCCCGACCAAGAGCAGCTGCTGGTTTTCCTGAAAAAGCTCAAAGAAGTGTTCGACGTGTGCGACGAGGACGCAGACGGGTATATTCGCGTTGAGCACTTCGTGGACCTCGGTCTACAGTTCGGCCAAGGAGATGAAGTAAGAACCTCTCTTTATATAATCACTTACTCGCTTCCTTCGTGCTGGAATGTTTGGCTTTTAATATTGCAGAGCACTTTTGTACCTTACATCTTACAGTCTCTGGGATGAATTAAAACGCCTTCTCCAAATTGAACGCTGTTAAATGCAAACAGGTTGGTTTATCCACATATCTTGTTTTCTGTAATTGGTGCCGGACTGGTGCTATAGATTTATGATTTATTAGGCCTAGTTATGTAGGTAGTTTAATAAATGCAGTTCCGCCAAGTAACCAAGACAACTGTCTCCTCTCTCTCCTTCATCAACTGTGATGTCATCAGACATCACTTGCAGATTCACCAGTGTATGCATGCATGCATATATATATATATATTATAAAGAATATGTCACAATATGAATTGCACTAGGCCATTGCCCATTTAAAATGAGAAAATGTGTAAATGGATAGTTGACTTACTGTCCAGGACATGCTAAACATTTCCTTAACATGAAGGTAAAATTCATAGAATTTAAAATGATTCTGTTTATTATTCCAAGAATTCAGAAAATGATTTAATGGAAAATGTAACAGTCCAGCCTGTCAAGTAATATATGTTTGGTAAAGGTTGGCCTGATGTACCATCTTGCATTATTATTTGTATGGTTTAAATATCATACAGGATGCATTAAAAATTACATATTTAAATGCTATTTTATTTA